ACGTGAAGGCCGAATTTAAAATTTTTGGTTTGGAGGTGGACAAGAATCATTTTGGTGAAGTTCTAGCCTTCTTGCTTGAGTGATCCCCAAAATCGCTCTCCTGCCAAAGAGTTTTTCATGTATCTGTACATGAAAGCCACGTGAAAGTGAGTAATTATTTTGCTGTGGGAATCTGTACACAAGTGTAGTTTAAATTGCCAAAGTTCTAACTTTGTAGTTCTTGTAGATCTTGAGATAAAAATTGGTACAGACGCCCACACAGACACATTCACACATAATACACTAAGTGATCCCTCGACAATATGCGGTTTTGCATTGCATAGATGCAAAAAACGCATAAAAAACCAGCAACATTTGAAAAATAAAGCTTAATTATCTCTTGTTGTTATTTCATCATCCATGCTCCAAATATGTAAATATCACTGAAAAGTAAAACTGTCACAAAATTGACGCTTTAATTAAACATCACAAATGATTTCAAGCGCTAATGGCTTCTCAAATGACTTTTTGTAAAAAATATAGCTTTGCATCCAGTACTTTTTATTTGTTACACATATGCATGAAAGAGTACTAAACAGAGAAAGTTGGAGAAGTTGCTAGCTGTATTAATGGGGTGAAAAAAAGTAACAAAAAAAGATCCAGCCGGCTAGAGCATTATAGCGAGTATAGCGTTATGCGCGTGAAAGGGTTATTTTTTGTTGAATATTTGTAATTTCGTTCACTTTTTTGCAGATAATGGGATGAAATTCCGTATTTATGAATAACTAGCTCTTGAAATAGTCGAATTCGAGTGATGGGTAACAGTTATACGCACTTGGCAACGCAGGATCCATCGGACTTGGTATCAGAGACCGATTCATCTTTGCTGCAGCGCTGGGCTGCAAGACTTACATCTACTGATCGTGCATCCTACGTCAAAATGTATGTTTTTTTATGTTTGGGCTTTTTTTATATAATAAGTCCTGTGCAATACCTAATCTTTTAGTAAAAAGAGTGAAAAGTGTATTAGCACCCAGACATGTAAAGTGAGCAGTAATAAGTGAAACATGTAAATTTAAAAAAAAAACATGCTGTATAGTGCTATCACAGATATTTTCATTACTGAGAAGTGGTAGCAGTTCCGTGTTCCAAACAAATTCCGTGCTTTCTTTCGTGTCTGATTTCTAAGTTAAAAAATCTTCCATGTGTTCGTAAGTGACATATGAATGTATCTAAGAGATGAGTTCAAATTTGCGACGTTGCACATCAGCAGACATATCCTTCTAAAATTTCAGCTTCCTAGATTTTCCCGTTCTTGATTTGAAAATCCTGGACAAAAATCCGAACAAGGTTGCAAGCGTGTGTATTTTCGATTTCTGCATTGCACAGATGCAAAAAATCATTAAAAAATCTTAGTTCAGATTATAAACACAAAATCCACAAGTCTGAACGCAACCGCTGATGTCAATAAATAGTGTTTGGTTTAAAAATTCTGAATTCCAGGCCTCGAAGTGCATCAAATATCAATGAAAAACATCCCACTGTACGGGCAGCTGTGCA